ACTTCATTATACAAGAATAAAGCTTTCCTAAAATCTTATATAAATAAAGAATAAGGTGGGACTCAATACAGTATGTATGAGGAGGAAATTGCCTTGCCCATTAGTTCCCTAAGGCCAACATCCCATCCCTATAGTGAACAGCCTTGCCAGGTCCAAAGGGCAGCTGGATTTTCTCCTCATGTACCACTTAGTTTACATATATCTATAATTATCTATATATCTATACATACATGCCACTATATATCTATGTATATGTATATATCTATGTATTCTGAGTATATCACTATTTAGAATTCAAAACACCTTGGGCTAATATTCTGTGTCCTTCTATTTAAGGGGGTATTTAGAGCTAACAAGCTCTTGATTCCTGATGCAATATCAATGTAACATCACGACGAAGTCTTTATCTGGAAAAAGTCAGACCATTGCCCAAATGCCTTTTGACTAGACACAGGCTCAAGCTTTCTGGGAGATGAAAAAGGCTATTTGCCTGAGATCTACTCCCTAGTTAATGCTGCCCAAGAACTGTAACTACAATTAATACCATTAACATTTCAGTAGAGCTGTTACATTCTGAATATTATTCTAAGTGCTTTGTATATATGGATATTTCATCGTCATAACCTATCTTATTGAAAGGTACACAGTAGTTTGTTACCATTTTCAGAAAAATAATTTGCCTGAAGTCACAAAGATGTTGTAATGGTTATTGTGTAAGAATTCAGCTAGTCTATCTCAAACTCAGGCACTAAAACACATTAGATGTTCTACATATATTGGTATGCTAAGAGTACTGAGATGATTTCTAGTTCATTAGTGTGGCTTTCGGATGTCCTATAATTCAAATACTCTATAATCACAAAAAATGAGTTGAAATAAAACTTCAGATTGAGTCACATCCAGCACCTTGACCTCTGTTATTTTTTTTAAGATTTTTATTGGAAAGTCAGATACACAGAGAGGAGGAGAGACAGAAGATCTTCCGTCTGAAGATTCACTCCCCAAGTGAGCGCAATGGCCGGTGCTATGCTGATCCAAAGCCAGGAGCCAGGAACTTCCAGGTCTCCCACACAGGTGCAGAGTCCCAAGGGTTTGGGCCATCCTCGACTGCTTTCCCAGTCCACAAGGAGGGAGCTGGATGGGAAGTGGAGCTGCTGGGATTAGAACCAGTGCCCATATGGGATCCTGGCGAATTCAAGGCGAGGACTTTAGCTGCTAGGCCACGCTGCCGGGCCCTAATTTTGAGTTATCTTAAAAAATTTTTAAAGATATCCTAAGGCATCAGTACTATGGCTAATATTAAACAAAGCACTCAATTATTTAGAGGTGGTAAATGCAATTTGTTGACATGGAGATAAATTTTACAGCCCAGGAGTTCCTCAAACTTGTTTTGGATATTAAATTATAATTATTTTGAGGTTAAGCCCAATGTTTTTGTTTCTGCTTCCTGTCTTACCCAGCCTAAATCACGTCTGATTATGTTGACTCATATCATGGCTGGATCTGTCCAGAAAGCATCCCCCACTCCCACCATTCATGACTCCATTTAACCATTTTATAGGCTCTCACCTCTGTAACACTGAACTCTTCTAGAGTACCTATGCCTGTATTACAACTAGTGCCAAAACAAATGCCTGGTTTATAGCTGCATCTGGAGTCTTTAGAACCGTAAAGAAATTAACCCCAGATGTTCTTCCTGACTCATTTTTTTTAAGTGCTTTCAGTTTCTCCACATAGGTTGTAGGAACACAACTACTCCTGCCATCCTCTGTTGCTTCCCAGAGCAACAGCAGAGCGTACATTAGCAGGAAGCTATAGTCAGGAGCTAGAGGGGACTGAACTCAGATATTCCAATATAGGCCATCTGTGCCTTAATGTCTAGGCTAAACACCCACTCTAAAGAAGACTTTTTGCTTGTACCTATTTCTGTCCCATCAGTTTCCTATGGTGGTAGTTCCAAATATTCAGCACTTGCCTCAGTCTACATTCCTGTAGAAATGCTTGTTTTTTATTTCAGTGTCATACTTGAGTTTGTAGTTCTATTCATTATGTCTCTTCTCCTATCTGCCTCTCGTAATATTTTGCTCAGTGAGTTACTGTACTGGATCCCAACTTTACAAAATCCATGATAATTAGCCTCATAGGTGGCTGAGGGATGGTAGCCTGGCTGCGGTCATTGCAAGGAAGACTTACATATAGAACAACAGGCTGGTGGCAACATGAACAACAGACTTCCTTTTGGTAGAATTGAACAAATATAGAAGTGGAACTCTCACTGATAGCACAATTATGAATATAGAAAATGGGCATGGCTAGAAGGGACTCTGTGGCACTGAACTAGAAGCATTAGAATCAACTTGTGGACATCTCAGCTTTTATGTGTATCTTTGCACATGATTGCGTGTATCCTATACATATGTTTCCTGACTGTCCAATGTGGAGACAGAATAGCAACACCACAGCCATAGTAGATACAAGAAATGCTCAGATAGTGGTTTCTCAAACCTAATTTTCCCTAAAATTAACCATGACTCTTAGGAGAAAAGGCTTATCTCCCGCCTGGGGCAGGAAAGCAACAAGATGAGCCTGGAACATCTGGTGCTGCCAGAAAGGGAGAATATTTCAAAGAATGATGAGGCTGTGTCAAAAGACACAAAGCTCAAAAGAGACTCTTGCTATCAATATCTGCAAGAGGGAATGTTAACGCTTAATGGCATGAATTCCAAAATGGCAAAGATTTGCTCAGGAAAACAAGCGAAAGTTACAGGGTGGAGAAGAAACTTTCTTAACCCTAAACTGGATCCCCTGAGAGGTCTGAAAGAGTTCTTTTGACACAGAATCAGTCCTGGGGTAGAGATCATGTAGAGGATGATAGGAAGGGACCTGCAGGGGAACCCGAAGTTAAGTCACACCATGTGAGAAAGACTAAATAGGGAACCCAACGAAAGAGGTGAAGAGAGTGCAAGTATGTCAGTAGTGCAAATAGGTAGGGAGCAATTCATTCTGATTTTGAACAGAATGAAAGAGGACTCCCAAGAAGGATGTTCCAGAAAAACGATTTCCATTAGCATTTTTGAAAATCTATTGGGAGCATTTGGTGATACAGAAGATGAGTCAAGCAAAAATGAGAAACGTATTACTACATAACATTCTTATAACTACATGAAAAACAAAGTTGTAGATGACAGAAAATAAAGTCAATATACTGTTTGGCTCAAAAGTGAATATTTGTTATAATGTAAAATTGTGGCATAACTATGAAGGATTAAGGGAACACAACTGGTTATTATCTTCCATATTAGGAACTCAATGGAAAATATATAAAATTGATGAATTAGGAAGTAGAAAAATAAATGCACACATAAATAATAGAAGAAACTGCTTAAGATGTTGGTTGTCATTAGTAGAAGCAATGAGTCCAGAGTGGATGGCTTGGGGAAGTGCCATGGTGCACCAAGTTAGGCTGCTGCTTGGCATGCCTGCATCCTACATTAGAGTGCTGGTTTGAGTCCCAGTTGCTATGCTTCGAATCCCACCCCCTGTTAATGCACCTGCAGAGTTCTGCCACCCACAGGGGAGACTCAAATGCAGATCCTGGCTCCTGACTTCAGGCTTTGGTTAGCATCTGGGGAGTAAACAGTGGAAGATTTGTGTGTTACCCTCATTCTCCCTTTCAAAGAGATATTAAGAAAAAAAAATTGGAGGGAGAAGACTCACTTTATACGTCTTATATTAAAGGAATTTTCCATATATGAAGGTGCAAGCAAATGAAGGCATAATGTTGTAAAAAATGTTTGTCTACAGCTGTCCCCCATCTTCTATGTATATAAAGTTGTATCTGAGTTGTATAAGAATAGAAAAGTATGCAGATTGATCCAAAATTGGTACGTTTTAGGGGAAAGACACAAGGAGAGATGATTCCTATTTTATTGAATTAATGACAAAAGATTCTTATTTTTCACATTTTAGAAAGTCAAAAAATGAATAAAGGGACTCCTTTATTGTGATTTTTTTCCTCTGTTCTATGGTAATGAGTTTGTATAGTCTATTTTTGATACTCATAAGAACTTTCACTTAGAAAAGTTTCCGCTACTTTTCAGTCGTATAACTCACCTACTTTCTGATAGAAAACTTGGCAGAAACTATTTTCTAAGATGACTTAGCAACTTTAAATAGATTAGTTGGGAGTATAGAGGAGTGATTTCAGGATCGTGGACAGGAAATGTCACTACACAGCTTCTTTGGCCACCAAAAAGCCTGTGATATGAGACAGCTTTCTAGTTGGCAATGTTTTGAACATTTGGGTCAGAAACCATAGATGCCTCCTTCCTGGATGCGTTGGTCATGGGGCCTTATATTGCTATATTTTTGGCAAACACCGATGAAAACCTTTAGTCACTTTGTCCACACAGAACTAAGCTTGAAGTATAACTATTTATTGAACACTTGGGACATGTCAGACACTGACACTTACGGAGTAAGTGTGTGTCAGAGGCAGAGATTTCACCTAGAAAAGGAGATTTGATAAAGAAGGACATCCAAGGTAATGGAAAGTGCTACATTGGGATTTAGATCTTCAATTTTTTGCTACTTTGTCTCTACCTTGCTCAGTAACCTTCAGCATAGCACCTTCCCACGCTAGCTCTGAATTTCCTCCTCTGTGGAGTGGGGAAGCTGGAGTCGATCAATGATTCTCATGCTTCCGTATGCCTTTGAATTATTTGGGGTGCTTGTTACCAAGGCAGCTTCCTGTTGCCTCACTTTTGGATTTATTGAATTTGGTTCTCTAAGGAGGAGGATGAGACTGAAATACAGAGACTTTCTGACTTGGAATGATTCAGTTTCCAATGTTTTTTACTTTGTGCTGGTGTAAGAGCAATAAACATTTGGTAGAAAATGCACTTCAAATTTAAAATTTTGATTTTTACCTAAGCTAGTGATATTTGGCATGATCCTTTCCCATTATATTGGAGTTTTTGATCATTCTCATAAATAGAAGCAATAGTGCATTGCTCTGAGTTGCTGCTATGATGTCATCCTTGCGCAGGGGCCATGCTAATCTTCTCTGTATCATTCCAGTTTCAGTATATGTGCTGCTGAAGTGAGTACTATGATGTAGAATAGGTTAGGTGTACTAATGCCTTTTCAACTTACACTGGGTGTGTTAGGATGCAACTCCATCATACATGGAGGAACATCGGTAGAAATTTTTCACAATTTCCCTGGTAGTTCTGGTACCACGTTCTTGAATTACTTTGAGAACTCCAAAACTCCATGGTCTATCCATTTCAAACATTTCAGAACTCAGTATTGAAGTGTCATTGGTAGAAATGTGATTCAAAGAAGTAGCGTGGAAAGACAAATACCATTCAGTAATTCATCCAGTCACTGAATATTTTTAAATGTCCTCTATGTGTCAAAGACCTGTTATCCAGGTTTTCCATGTATTTTTTTCCATATAAGTTTTATTGATTTTGATTTGGAAAGTGGTTATTATTCTATTCATGAAGATCAGTATCTTTAATAGCTGTATCGGTATTTAATAATGTGCATGTTACTTAGGATTTTATACATGGATCTGAGGATGACAAACAAAAGATGGGAACAACCCAAATGACCACTAATTGGTCTGGTTATAAAAAGGAATAATATTAGTCAATAAAAAAGAGAGACTGGGCCTGGCGCGGTGGCGCAGTGGTTAAGGTCGTCCTCTTGCACGCCCGGGATCCCATATGGGCGCCGGTTCTATCCCGGCAGCCCCGCTTCCCTTCCAGCTCCCTGCCTGTGGCCCGGGAAAGCAGTCGAGGACGGCCCAAGGCTTTGGGACCCTGCACCCGTGTGGGAGACCCGGAAGAGGCTCCTGGCTTCGGATTGGCATAGCATTGGCCGTTGCGCTCACTTGGGGAGTGAATCATAGGACTGAAGATCTTCCTCTCTGTCTCTCCTCTCTGTATAGCCGCCTTTCCAATAAAAAAAAATAATAAAAATAAATCTTTGAAAAAAGAGATACTAATTACAAAATGGGTGTTTTTTGTACAGCTTCTTCTAGGTAAAAGGAGCCAGACACAAAATGTCACATAGGGTCTGGTTTCATTTATATGAAAAATTCAGAATCGGCAAAGTTCATAGTCAGTAGCTTAGTGATTGCCTATGGCTGGGCTTGGCGCATGAAGTGGATGAATGAGGAGCAATTACCAGTAGGTATTGTGTTTCTTCTTAGGACAATAAATATTTCTAAAATGTATTCTAATGATACTTTCACAATTCTGTGAATATATTAAATATCGAATTATGTATTCTAAATGGAAAAAGTGGTATACAATTCATGTCTCAGGAATGCTAGTATCTATCACAAAAGCAGCAGTAAGATTACTTATTGACTGTTCACCAACTAGGAAGAAATGATACCAACTTTTAATAGAAGATCAGATCATTGCTGATTTTCCAAATCTTTTTATGCATACTGATTCTAAATTCTTTTTAATTTATTTGTTTTTGTTACAAAGTCATATATAGAGGAGGAGAGACAAAGAGGAAGATCTTCTGTCAGATGATTCACTCCCCAAGTGAGCGCAAAGCCTGGTGCTGCGCTGAATCAGAGCCAAGAGCCAGGAACCAGGAACCTCCTCCAGGTCTCCCACATGGTTGCAGGGTCCCAAAGCTTTGGGCCATCCTCGACTGCTTTCCCAGGCCACAGGCAGGGAGCTGGAAGGGAAGTGGAGCTGCCGGAATTAGAACTGGCCCCATATGGGATCCTGGCACGTTCAAGGTGAGGACTTTAGCTGCTAGGCCACTGCCACCAGGCCCTAAATTATTCTTTGCTTCCTGTTTCAGGTAGATCTTTTGGAGTCTATTCGTGCTAGTTGGGCAGTCAGAAGCGGTCTGTTAGTGCATATGTGTAAACCTTTGGTTTGCATTTGCTTTAATTACATTCAAATGTTCTTGTCCACTAACAAATGACTGCAGCTGGTTTGACTGCTCCTGGTCTTACCTGCATTTGTAGATGTGTAAATAGCAGCAGAATGTGATTGACTTGAGAATGTTGACAATGAAGTGACCCTAACACATTACTATTGTGGCAGAAAGTGTTACACTTTTGTTTGCATATAAACATTTTCAGATGTATCCTTTAAAACCCGTATCTTCCCAGGGTCCTTGTCTTCCTGACCACCCACTTGGGAAGAATTTGGGCCATTCTTAACCTATCCTGCTTTTTTTTTGCTAAAATTTAAGTTAGCATTATAGGTGCTGATTGTTCCTCTGTCTCCCCTCTCCTTCCAACACACCATCTCTCCCTCCCCCTCTCTTCTCTCCCTCACTTTTAGAATGTATACACTTTGAAGAAAAGGGCACCTTATTTTAATCATGGTGTTTTCAGCTATTAGTACAGTGTATGAGACATATTGAGTTTTTAATGGATGTTTGTTTAATGAAACAAGGTCTACTGCAGTGTTTCTCTTGGGGAACTAGAAAGATCCTAACTAGAGTCCTTTATGCAAATAGGATTCTGGGCTTGCTTTCTATCTCTACAGTTCCTGAGGTGAATATGTTGATTCAGCCCCTTGCTACATTTGCACTGGTGTGCACCACATGCATTTTCAAACACCTAAATATTAATCACATGCCCAAACCTATTAACTAATAGCTGGCCTGTAAACCATATGCAGAGATTAAAAACCCATAAAATATGCACATGTATGAAAAACCTTTGAGGAATATAGATTGAAATTTAATGCTCAGTTTCAACTCTCCTATCACTTTTATTAGTCTTCATAGTACTATCTATTTGGGGGACCCACACAACAGTGAAAAATTGAACAAATATGTGTTTAGCATTTCTAAACAGCTTTGTACCACCTTAGTAAATAAAATCTTAAAAGCCACATGTTGAGCCCTATGTTCTTTTTGTTTCTGAAAACTGAAACAAAGTCAAATGTTTTTGAAATTAACTGGGATGGGACAGCTCTGTTGGCTTAGCAAGTTAAGCCACCACCTGCAGCACCAGCATCCCATAAGGGTGCCAGTTCAAGCCCCATTGTCGCTACTTCAGATCCTGCTTCCTGCTAATTTGCCTGGGAAAGCAGGAATGGATTGCCTACGTGCTTGGGTTCCTGCACACATATGGAAAACTCTGGGCTCCTGGCTTTAGGTGTGCCCAGCTCTGGTCATTGTAGCCATTTGGGGAGTGAACCAGTGAATCTAGGATCTCCCTCTGTCTCTCCCCTTCCTTCTCCCTCTCAATCTCTGTAATTATGCTTTCTAGATAAATAAATCATTTTTGAAAAAGGAAATTAGCTGGGCATTGAAGCCCAGAAGGCTATTTGCTTTGTTAGGCATATCCAAATATACCAGCAACATAGTCTAACTTAAAAACACTACGTTTGTAAAATACTTAAACTTTATGGTACTTGGATGTCAAATATTTCATTTGAGTCCCCCGAACAGTCTTTTAAGATGAGAAGAGCCAGGATCTGTTTCACAGAACCACGGGGCTTAACACAGCCTAAAGGAAAATTCTGCAAGTGTAACAACCCTACTTTGCAGGTGCCAAAACTGAGCCATAGAAAAGGTCAATGGTTTGCTCAAAATGGTACTGCAGATTTCTTTTTTTTTTTATTTAATTTTGACAATCCTTACAAATTTAATTGGGGTAAAAAAGGTTCAAGGTCTAAAGGGGGATATAGAGGAAGAAGTCCCACCCAGTCTCCCGCCCACCCCAAGTCCCGGATGTGGGGCATGCTCTGAGATACTTGATCAAGTGGTTCCAATAGTTCACCGTTCATGGGCTGTTGCCAGTCTCGCCACCCCAATCATGATGTGGTCATTGAAGAGTTCATTGATTGACACAGTCCCTTCTAGGGTCTCCATTTGCCCAGTCTCTGCTGCCAACAGATGGCTGAGGTTGTTGCTTGATTTGTCCTGTCTTTCCCTGGTTAGGACTCCGACTTAATGCAAGGCTGTCACACTACCAATGTGTAATGACACTCAGACATAGAAAATAGTACTGAAACCATTGTGGTGCTCAAGGTTGGCAGGTGAGGATCAGAAGCTGGGAGTCCCCACCTTGGGGTTCTAAAGCACAGCCATTGGCCTCTTTTTATACACATCAGGTTGGCTCTTTCCTATCATTAACTATAATCTTCTAAATATACTTTCTGCAGCCTCAAAATCAGTTAAACCCCCATCAGCAGACATAAAATTCCTTGCTCTGACAATCTTACTTTTATGTTGCCTTCAGTATTTTAGGATGCCTGAGGTGCCATATTGATAAAGCTGCATTCTGGAGAACTAAATATATGTAGAATATTATATGCCTCCCTGACTGAGCACAAAAGTGTAAATTAATGAATCTCTCTTGTTGACATCGTAAAGTATGCAGGCCTGAAGCACAACTGAAGTATTCCTTGCAGGTCCATGTGTTTTATTTGCAATGTCTACAAAATGAATAGTTTTTCAAATGTAAAAGCTGTGACAGAATATGGCTGTTTATATTGGAGGTAACACAGTGCGAGAAAGATGACAGTGAGGACATATGATGTGAGGGACTGGAAAGGGCTTAGGGAAGAAAATAATAAAATTGTGTAATGACAGGGCAACCTTTTGCTGCTGGATGACCGTTTTAATCATGTATCAATCCTGAATAATTTGAGAGGTGATACTAACATGATTTGGGTTGTTTTCCTATTGGCATGTTGTGGTACTGAGTGTTGTAGGATATAACAAATCCTTACGGAAGAGTACAGCCAGGTGATTTGGGCATTTGTATGTGTGCTATATAGGGAGACTTCAGCTATAAATGCTACAGAAAACAGTCCTGGGTGGGCCCCAGGTTGAGAAAAGTGGTTCATATAAATAGAAGCACAGTATTTTCTACTGCTCTTTGGCTTCTTTCTTTAAATCTGTCCAAAAAAATGGTTCTGCCTTTAAATTACTCCCCCTCTGAGGGACCAGTATTGTGGCATAGTTGGTTAAACTTCTGCCTGTCGTCCTAGTATCCAACATGTGTGCCAGTTCCAGTCCTGGCTGCTCTATTTCTAAACCAACTACCTATTAATGGCTTGAGAAAGTAGCAGAGGATGGCCCAAGAATTTGGGGCCCTGCCACATGTG